TACTTGTAGTAGAGTGTAGATTTTCTTTGTTGCTATTACTCGTTTGCAAGCTATCGTGAAGTATAATTTTTTTGTTTTTTATATTTTCTAGGTACCAAAGTTTACGTTTCTTTAGAACTAGAGCTAAAGCCTGAGTTCTGTTAAAAAAATAGTTTTAGTTTCTTTAGTATTAGATATTTTGTAAAAAGTTTTTACTCTCAAACCTAACTTTATGTGGTCAGAAGAGTTTATTGCAACTTTAAACTTAGAATACTAATAAAAAATATATATATTTGATTTAGTAAAGTAGCCTATGTATAAAAAATACAAATCAAATAGATATGAATAAGTCTATTATATAATACAATCTAATGCCTTATATAAGTAACAACACCAATTCAGCTTAGTAACTAACTAGATTTGAGAAAATCTATCTTATAAAATATTCAAAAACATGAAGAACTAATCTAATAAAGAGCTATAGTAGGAACTAGATTCATATGAATATCTATAAAAATATATACTAGTTTAAAATTAGATATAGTATAACATAGTTGAAATATTCTGCAAACCTTTTCTAAAGAAGATTAATAAGATATTTTGAGATAAAACTCTTTCTAATAAAAGAAACTAAAATACAAATCAGTCTGAGTAGTCCTTAATGAAGCAGTATGAGATTGTGCAAGTTTAAAAATAAAATTGAGTTGATGTTAGAAATGATAGAATACTAGAGAATTTAAAATAAAGTAACTACAAATAGGTACTAGATATGGCTTGAAATTAGACTAATAGTAAAACATTTCTGTTTTTTTTGAAAAGTAAAATATATGCTATGTTAGAACTGCTTAAAGTCTTTTGTTTAATTTTGTATTTATAAGATATATGTAAAGCAACAAGAATTGTATACTATAGATAGAAATAATTATTAGCTTTAGTTTTCTAAAAAAATTTTGTTTTTTTTTTATTTTTTTAGGAAATTGTGATATGCGAGAAAGATTTCTCAGTTTTTAGGACTTAAAAAATATATATATATATATATAAAAGTACATAATCACCAATAAACTAAATTGCTTTAGTATTTCATAATTCATGAAATTAGTACAAAAAATTTGTATAAAGTTTGTTTAATTAGAAAGACCTATAAGTTAATAACTAGTATAAAACCTTTGAGCGAACTACTTAAACAATGATATATGCATCATTATCATGTACTTATCATGCCTAAAAAAAACATCGATATAACAGGTATAAACACAGAATTATTTTAACATGTAACTAAAATCATTAAATATATCGTAGTTTTTTTAATTTTTTATAAATATAATCGATTTTAGCGAAACACAAAATTATTTCCATATTATACTTTATGTGTAATTATAAATATTTCACAATAAAGTTCGAATACAAATTTACTATAAAATAAAGCAATTTATGCCAGACCAAAATTACAATAGATGCAACTTCTTTTGATATTAATCATCTGTGTTCATTAAATTTTCACATTAAGAGAATCAACAATAGTCAACTGTTCCAGACCCATCAATTAAACTCCTTTGTCAGCGAGGATGTAATATTGTTTGGTTATCATATTGAGAATGGAAAAGGATCACGTCGCTCCTATCAGGAACGAAAAAAGAGAGAATAATTCAATATAATATTTTTTTTATTTTTTATTATTTCACACAGAAACGTATAGAATCAACACATAAAAAGAATAAAAAAGCGTGGCCGTCGATGAAGCAATAAAACGTTAGACGAATTGCTAAACTAAAAGTGTGTATGATTATTCTTCGCATGACCGTTGTTACCAATTGATGGCGACGATTGAAGAGCGAAAGAAGAATCCGTTGGCATAGTAATAGGAGGAAAGAAATCAAGTGCAGGGGTAGAAGGATGATCATTATTTAATGAAGGAAATGCCTGCTCAAATTCACCTCGTTCTTGGTTGCCTCTATTATCACGATCACGGCTTTCTGTGGAACTGCGCTCGAGCTCTCTACTCTTGTCCTCATTCATGTCCCAATACTTAGTAGACCTTTCACGTGAAATTTGACGTTCATAAGTATCTTTTGAAATAGTGCTCCCATTATTGCGCTCTGATTTAACATCTCTAGTTTTTTCCTCTTTAACATCCCAGTTTGAAACAGTAGCAGTGGCTATGTTAGATTCGTTTTGCTCTTCTTCATCTTCTCTGCTTTTGTCAGCAACAATATCCCATGGTTTGCGTCTCTCACGTCTAAAACGATCGTAGCTATCAGAATATACATCATTGGCATTGTTATGAATCCTTTTGGTATCCCTTTCTTTCTCATTATTGACTCCCCAATATCTTGACTTTGGACGATCTCGCTGGAAAGTCTCATTGGTTACAACATTTGCACTAGCCCCAATAACATTATCATCATATGGTCTCACATGAGCCGGACTATTATGTATCATAGGAGCATAATGATTATAACTAGGATGGTGCACTTCATTATAATGATAATTATAATCGACATCACGTCTAGAATCAAATTCATGGCCACGAACTGCATCAAAACGAGGAGGTCGATCTCGCTCATATCGGCGTTCATGAGTTGTAATCGGTGGTCTAACACCAGGAGAAAGTGAACGACGTGCTGAATAACGTGACCGTGGAGATACTGATCGACGAGATGATGAATATGTCGCAGGATGATGGTAATAATAATCATTGAAACGCTTATAGTTATCTTTGTATGTTGAATGACCAGGCGGTGAGTTACGGTGAATATATGGGTCCAAATCAGCCTCCCGGTATCGAACAAAATCACGATCACGATCTCTTAAATCTTCTCTATTGTAAAATGGAGGTCTAACACGATCTGTTTCTCTACCGTGTTCATAGCTCGTTCGGGTACGATGTAAATCCCTATCCGGTTCGAAATAACGTGTTTGATCGCGCGCTCGTGCCAGCTCTCGTTCTCTTTCAAACCTTAATTCTCTTTCTCTTCTTTCAATATCCCTTTCTCTTTCCAAATGTTGCTGCCTTTCTCTTTCCCGATCTCTTTCCGTCAGGCGTTCTCTATCTCTCTCCCGATCAAATCCTCTGTCTCGTTCTCTATCACGAGCTTGATCCCATTTCCTTACAAATTCTTGAGAATGAATATCATTATAATAGTCTTTTCGTGTCATTCTTGACGATGATGGCGGAATGTCATAAAAAAGAGGGGATCGAGGTTCGTGACGCGCTGATGCTATATGTTCAGAAAGTGCTGAACGATTTGGAGAGGACGCTATTGCCGGAGGTAAAGAAGGATGAGGTGATGTATCAGCGTGTAAAACCTCAGATTGAGAATAATATGAATCACTTTGTTGTATGCTGTTTGAACGTGCTCGTTTGCGACTATTTTTGGATTTGTCTTTTTCTTTCTCTGAATAAACATCTCTATCATAGAATGGATTATCACTCCTCCCAGATAATTTGGAATCATGTAAATGAACATGTTCATGTTTGCGATTTGTTTGACTACCAATGTCATCATCTTTTTCGTCATGAACAGTGGCCACGCTTGGATTTCGTATTCGTTGCTCATGATCATCTGTTCGAGCATGTTCATATTCATGATCTTTATCAGTACGGGACAGGTTTTTGCTTGGCTGTATCTTTGAAGAGGAATGATACAATTCGTGCGGCTCTATTGAGGGATTTCCTCTATCCCTTTTACTATCAAATTCTTCTCTTCGGCGTTCAATATCCCTATCACGCTTATCAAATTCATTATCTCTCCTGCGAACAAAGTCTCTGCGGTATTCAGGCTCACGACGAGCTTCATTTTCTCTCCGATCATCAATATCTCTTTTTTCGAACCGACGATTAATATCTCGCCTATAATGAGGATCACTTCTATAATCGATATCCCTTTCTCTCCTGTTACGTAATTCATAATAATTTTTCCGTCCGTGATCCATGTCTCTGCGATAGTCATTTAGCCGCCTATAGTCTTGTATATGATCTTTTTTACCTTCATAACGATCATCGATCGGCCGTTCTTCAGCTGCCTCAACACGTATGGGGCGACCATCAATGGAACGACCATTCATCGATTTAATTGCATCTAATGCGGAATGCGGCTCCTCAAAAGAAACGAATCCATAGCCTTTACTTCGACCTTTATATAATTCACGATTAAACGATAGGATCATTAAACCAACCTTAATTATTAATATACACTTACCAGTATTTTTATCTCTAATAACTAGTGCTTCATTTACATTTCCAAAATGTTCAAATTCTGTTTTGAGCTCTTTATCTGAAAGTTTCCAGGAAAGATCGCCGACAAATACTCTCGTTCCGCTGATAGTTACACCAGATCTATTTCCTGGTTCATTACAATTAATTGTATCCAACGTTGCTTGCGGAGGAGTATCTACTGGTGTAGTGCCCCTAATGTCATTGATTTGTGGATGAGAGCTTTGTGAAGATTGTTGTGGAGGGGTAGAGACTGGATCCATGAATTATTCGCGGTTAAAAATGAATAACCTATTTAAAAAATTAAATCGTCGATAATCTGTTACACAAATTCGTGAATAGCCATTGGTTGGTTAGATCTGTATAATAACGTGACTTAGTGGCTTAATCCCAAAAAATTCCGGGTCGGGAAGACATCGGAATCATGGTCGATTAGGATTGAATTATCTAAAATCACTCAAAATTTTACTAATGAAGTTAAAGCCCACTTACTAAGTAAAAATGCCTACCTAATAATTTGCTATAAATTTTTTTTGCTAAATAATATAACTAATGTAGGCTAGCTCCGATGTCTTTCTACCCGGAATTTTGGGAATGTTTTTGAGTGAAGATATTTAAAAAACTATCTAATTAAATTTAATAAATTTTTTTGGTTAATCTGTAGAATTTAAATAAAAAAATTTTGTTAATTTATGTTAGATAATTATTAAAATTTAGAGTTTTTGCTAACAAAAGTATTTTTAAAATTTATAGATAAAATTTATTTTTATTTTTATTTTTTTTTTAACTTAGATAATCTTGTTCATTATTTTATTAAGAATAAGCTAATTTAAGCTATAAGCAAAATACTATTATTTATAGTATACTATTTTTCTTAAACTATTCAGGACTCATTTAGCTATCTTTTAATATCTTACATATCTAATTTTGTATCAAACAAGAAAATACTTTGTAGATTTCTCTTCCTCTTTAATCTATTTAGTATTAGATCTAATTTGCTATTTTTCTGAGAGAAGTTGTAGTTCTTTTTGAAGCTATGCTTTGGTTTTTTCAAGTGCAGGTTAGAGATCTGTAAGTCTGTAATTTCTAGTTATTTAGTTGCTTATACTAGTTAGTCTCTTCTGTAGAATTTAAATCTTCCTTTCTAGAGAAGAGTTTTGTTTGGCTATTCTGATTATTAATTAGATTATGCATTTATATAGGTTCTACTTAACAGCATTTTTAATTTTGTAGAGTTCTTTAAGAACTTTATCCTTAGTTTTCAAGTTTGAAAGAGATTTTGAGTTAAACCTTTATAAGATAGAATATGTAAAGGTTGATTTGAAACTAATAGTATAGTTGATAAGAAGATAGTCTGAGTTGCCAAACTGTATTTGTATTTCTTTTTTTAGAGAGCTATGATTTGAGTCTATGAATATATAGTCAAGCCTTGTAACTATTTTGTGATTATTTCTGGTATTTTAATAAAAAGTTAAAAAAGAGTTATTTGTTAAGGTTTCTGTTGTATTAGTAAAATCTATCATTAGGTTCTTGACTAGCTTTCTAGAAAGATTATTTTGTATTAGTGCTTGGTTTATTTAGTCTTTTAGAAGATTTAGATTTATATTAAAATCTCTTGTTATAAGGTTTATATAGTTTTCATCAATTATTGAGAACTAGCTATTAAAGAAGTTAATTCTGTTTCTTAGATTTGGAGGTATATATATTAGTGACCAAGAAAATATTATTTTTATAAGAGATTTTGCTTGGATTACTTGGTTATCAAAAGAGATTCTTAAGGTCTGGCGATCTTAGTGTAGTGGTTAGGTTGCCAGACCACCATGCAAGAGGTCTGGGGTTCAAATTCCACTGTCGACGAATTTGAATAATTACTCAGACCTTTGTATCCAACTTACGGTAAACCCTGTTCGTTTCTGGGGTTG